GCCGGACTGGAAAAGGTCAGTTTTCATTCCAATCCCAAAGAAAGGCAATCCCAAAGAATGCTCGAACTAGCACACAATTGCACTCATCTCACACACTAGTAAAGTAATGCTCAAAATTCTCCAAGCCAGACTTCAGCAACACGTGAACCATGAACTTCCAGATGTTCAAGCTGGTTTTAGAAAAGGCAGAGGAACCAGAGATCAAATTGCCAACATCCACTGGATCATCAAAAAAGCAGGAGAGTTCCAGAAAAACGTCTATTTCTGAAAGGTCCAGCGTGTCCTTTTTTTCCAAACAGTGATTTCCTATTGAATTGCTTTCTTAATTTTCTTGTAAAGATTTTGGCCCATTAATTTCTGTGTATTTTTATCTTTGGTTTCAGGATTTCAAGTTCAAAGATATGGTCATTTACTTCTCTCAGAAAGAGTGGGAATGCTTGCACTCTGCTCAGAAGGATTTGTACCGAGATGTAATGCTGGAGAATTATAACAACCTGATCTCACTGGGTAAGTTGATTTGTCCTCCAAAATTCAGAATTGGTCTTAAATTTTTATATTTATTTATAATAATTTCTTATGAAGTGAAGTAGTGAAAGTCAGTCAGTTATGTCTGACTCTTTGTGACCCCATGGACTATATATCCATGGAATTCTCCAGACCAGAATACTGGAGTGGATAGCCTTTCCCTTCTCCAGGGGATCTTCCCAACCCAGGCATCGAATCCAGGTCTCCCACCTTGCAGGTAGATTCTTTACCAGCTGAGCCACAAGGGAATCCCGATTTTTTGTGAGTCCTTCCTAAGTGCTTGGCTGAATTAACGATTCTTCCTAAGTGCTTACCGAAGAATGCTTTGTCCCTTGTGAAGTCAGAAATTGGCTGCTCCTGTATACATTATCATGTGTAAAACGGGTAACTAGTGGAAAGCTGGTGTATAACACAAGGACCTCAGCCTGGTGCTCTGTGACAACCTAGTGGGGTTGTCACTATGGGGAGAGCTGTGTCACCTGTGGGGAGAGCAGAGAGGCGAGAGAGAGAGGGAATATATATATGTAATTATGACTGATTCACGTTGTTGTACAACAAAAAACAACACAATGTTGTAAAGCAATTATCATCCAACTAAAAATACATTAATAAAATAATTAATGCATGCAGCCTAGGAAAAACAAATTTAAAAAATAAATATTCAGGACCTGAAATAAAAAAGAAAAAGAAATCAGCAGCTCCATTGAACTTTTTCTTCTTCCCCTTTCCTCTTACCCTTAATTTTCTTACTCCTCTTTCGTGATAATCATGGACTGATTTTAATTCTGGGACACCTGCAACATACCTTGATCCTTTTTTTCTTTCTTGAGCAGGATTCACCAATTTTAAGCCAGATGTGATCTCTTTATTGGAGCAGGGGAAGGAGCCCTGGATGGTTAAGGGCAAGGAAACAGAAGAGTGGTGCCCAGGTGAGTAATAGAGACTCACATGGGAAACGCCGTGGCAGGTGTCACTCTCCTGGCCTGTGAGAAGACAGGCAGCATGTCTGAGATGTTGTTAGGAAAGCTCCCCAAGAAGCCTCAGATCTGGAGAAGAGAGTAAGGATGTTTCCCATAAGTCTTCCAATTGTTATTCCAGTTACCACTTTCTTACTACTCTTCCTCATATTCCCTCTGATTTCAGGAAGGAAGTGCCTTTCTGCTTTCCTCCACTCTTCCTTTCCATGAGATAAACCATCTTCACCACATTTTGGGTCCAATTTTGTTCTGATTTTTTTTAAAATAATTTTTATTTATTTATTTTTATTCCTGACTGTACTGGGTCTTCATTGCTGCATGGGCTTTCTCTAGTTGTGGCAAGCTGGGCTTCAATTAAGGCTACCCTCTCATTGTGATGTGTGGGCTTCTCATTGCAGTGGCTTCTCTTGCTGTGGAACACCAGCACTAGGGCACTCAGGTTTCAGTAGTTGCTGCATGTGGGCTCAGAAGTTGTGGCGCACGGGCTCAGTCACTCCTTGGCATGTGGGATTTTCCCAGACCAGTAGGTGGATTCCTTGCCACTGAGCCTCCAGGGAAGCCTTGGGAGAAATTATATCAGTAGATAAACTGATGAACAAATACGTAATTATAAAATTGAGAAAAAGATTATGAGGGCAAAGAAAAGGATATAGGATAGAAAATTAAGATGTTTAGAATGAGAGAAGCTGGCCATGGCAGATATCCTGGAACAGAGAGCATGCAAAGAAGCCAAAACATTTCCTGAAAGATGAGAATGTAATTGGCATGACATGCAAGTTGAATGGCGGCCAGTATAGTGAACTCATGGCGAGTGAAGGTGACAGTACCTCAAAATTAAGTTGAAGAGGGAAGCAGGGACCAGATGCTGCAGAATTTTGCAGGTCTGATAGTGAATTTTGTATTTTAGGTGCAGGGGGAAGGCACCGCATTTAAACAGCGAGTCCCACATTTTGAGTTGCCTCAGAAATCAGTGAGGGAGATAGAAAAACATACCAATGGCCATACATTCAGCAGACAACTATTATTTACTTTGTGCAGGTACAGTGAAGGGTGGACAGACAGTACAGAAGTAAACAAGTTAAAATATAATCTGTTGGTTTACAGGTGAAGTATACTGATGTCTGCAAGGTGACTTGATGTTCAGAGGGGTAGATAGATGTATAATAAGGCAAGTAGATCCAAACATTTATTGTAGAATCTAGGTGATGAGATTATGGGAGTCCACTGTCTAGTTCTTTTCATTCTTCTGTGTTATGAAAACTTTAAAGCATAATGTTGGGGGGAAAGAGAAAATGACATGTGATAAGTACACTGCAAAAAAGTACAGTAAGTAGATTGATGAAGGTCCTGTTTTGTAAAGAGTGATCTCTTAAGTTGACATCTAAATAGAGGTCAGAATGAAGTAATTGAAAGAGCCATGTTGATATCTTAGGGAAGATATTTGTAGGCAGAGATTCTGAACGAAGGGTGTGCTTGGCAAATGTGAACATCTAGTTGGTCAGGGAGCTAGAATACAGTCAGCTCATGGGAGGGGATAAGGCGGTGAGGTCAGAAAGAGGTAGTGTAGGACAAGTTCTGGAAAGGCCATGTGGATCACTGAGGGATTTTGACTTTTACTCTGGGTGAGAAGAAAATCCAGTGGAGGATTTTGAGCAGAAGAATGACATGATCGAACTTATTTTAATAAGAGCACTCTGGCTACTGTGTTGGGGATGGGATATCAGGAGGAAATAGGGAGATACTATGCTAGGATAATGTTTTGTTAATCTTGGTGAGGGATGGCTCTGGACAAGGTGATTACTACTAGAGATACTAGTAGAAGTAATCAAAACCTGGGGCTAGAGATGAGAGGACTTGCTGTTAGATAATGTCCTACTCCTATAGATTCTCATTTAGTTGGTTCGTTCTTGGACATTACATATTTTTTAAAAAATATTTATAATTTATTTGGCTACACTGGATCTTAGTTGTGGCACGTAAGATCTTCAATCTTTAGTTACCAACTGCTGGATGTGGCATGTGGGATCTAGTTCCCCAACGAGGGATCTAACCCAGACCCCCTGGGTTGGGAGTGCTGAGTCTCAACTGCTAGACCACCTGGGAGGTCCCAGACATTGTATTTTTAACAAGTTCCACAGCTGATTCTCACCAGAAGTGAAAAGTAGTGACTAAGACTCCAGTGCTTCCAGTGCAGGGGGCCCGGGTTCAATCACTGGTCAGGGAACTAAATCCCACATGCTGCAACGAAAGAGTTCACATGCTATTACTAAGACCTGGCACAGCCAAATAAATATTTTAAAAATCACTTCCTTCATAAGCTGCCCTCATTTTCTCCATTCTTATTCCCCTCCCATCCTTTTTTTTTTTTCAAATTGTAACGCAGTGTTAAGAGCAATTTAAACTGTTAACTATTTTTAGTTTGTTGTTTCTACCTTGGAACTTTTCTTTCTCCTACAACATGAAAATACTCTTTTCTTTGTTATCTTACAGACTGGGAATCTAGAAGAGAAGCCAAGACTTTATCTTTAAAGGAGGAAAGTTATGAAATTCAGTCATTGCAACCAGAGATAACAAAGAGACTTATAAGCACTAATCTTGAGTGTCCTAGAGTCAGAAATACCAGAGAAGTCAGATGCCACTTGGAGAGGCTACTGGAAGAACATTTCAGACAAGCCATAATAACCTCTGAAGAAAGATCCACTTCTTTTCAGCACACAGATCCTAGAGCACCTCAGACAGCTCCTACTGGAGCAAAATCCTGTGAATCCACGGAATGTAAGACTTCCAGATCGCAACCACACCAGAGTCAACATGAAAGAAATCATAATAAGGAGAAAGGCTCTAAATGTGGAGAATGTGAGAAAGCCTTTAATAGTAGGTCAGACTTGATAAAGCATCAGAGAATTCATGAAAGCCAAAAAAGTAATGAAAATAAGGAAGGTGACTTTATTCGTGACTCTCAGATTACAAAATCTCAGAGCATTAATACTGCTGAGAAACATCATAAATGTAAGGAATGTGGGAAAGCCTTTCATTCTACCTCACAACTTAGTAAACACCAAAAGATTCACATAGGTGAGAAACCCTTTAAGTGTATGGAATGTGGAAAGGCCTTTCCATCTACCTCACAGCCAAATTTACATCAGAGAATTCATACTGATGAGAAATACTATGAATGTAAGGAGTGTGGGAAAGCCTTTACCCGTCCCTCACACTGTCTTCTTCGACATCAGAGAATCCATACTGGTGAGAAGCCCCATAAGTGTAAGGACTGTGGGAAAGCTTTTCACTATGACACACAACTTAGTCTTCATCAGATAATTCATACTGGTGAGAGATGCTCTGAATGTTAGGAATGTGGGAAGGTGTACAGTTGTGCCTCACAACTGAACCTACATCAAAGAATTCATACCGGCGAGAAACCTCATAAATGTAGGGAATGTGGGAAAGGTTTTATCTCCGATTCACATCTTGTCCGACATCAGAGTGTTCATACAGGGGAGAAACCATACAAGTGTAAGCAATGTGGGAAAGCCTTTCACCATGGCTCAGAACTTACCAGACATCCGAGAGCTCACACGGGTGAGAAACCTTATAAATGCAAGGAATGTGAAATGGCCTTTACTTGTAGCACAGAACTTATCCGGCATCAAAAAATTCACACTGGTGAGAGACCCCATAAATGTAAGGAATGTGGGACGGCTTTTATTCGACGATCAGAACTTACTCATCACGAGAGAAATCATAATGGTGAAAAACCCTATGAGTGTAAGGAATGTGGAAAGGCCTTTGGCCATGGCTCAGAGCTTAGTCGACACCAGAAAATTCATACTGGTGAGAAACCCTATGAATGTGAGCAATGTGGGAAGGCCTTTATTCGTGTCTCACACCTTAGTCAACATCAAAGAATTCATGCAGGACAGAGGAGTGAGTGAAGATGTGGGAAACCTCAAAATTTGACATCTGGGAAAAGGAAATGGCAACCCACTCCAGTATTCTTGCCTGGAAAATTCCACGGACAGAAGAGTCTGGTGGGCTGCAGTCCATGGTGTCACATGACCAGAGCACACACACGGGGGGGTTGGAGGGAGATGGGTTGGTAGCAATAAACAGGTAGAACTAAAAAAAATAAAAATTGACACCTGGAAATTTGTGCTAGTAAAACACAAAAGCCTATGTAATTGTCAGGAATGTGGGAAAGCATTTAAGGACAACAGGTTAATATCATACTTCATACTGTGGATACGAGGCCTTTAATTAAGGGCCAGAATTTGACATGTATTACTGATGAGAAATCTTATAACTGTTAGGAATTGGGAGGGGTATATCTGTATTTCAAAATTTATTAGACATGAGAGTTCAGTTGGTGAAAAAGTAAAAAACTCCATGAAGATAAGCCAAGTGGGCGATCTTAGAAAGGTAGTGAAAATGTTAGAGACAGAAATCATTCTAACTTTTCTGAACATGAAGGGTCATTAGCCTTTATGGGAAATCAAGTGTCACAATACAAATATACAGATGAAACATCTATCTGCTAAAATTAACCTGAACCAAATCAGAGTGGGAGAGGATTTAACATTTAGTGTTTACTTCACCATTATTGCTCACTTCTTATAACCAATTAGTAATATTAGCATCATATTTCTTAGTATTGTGTACACTGTATCCCTTATCTGACTCATATTGGAAGTGTGCTAAATGAGAGCTGCATTATATTCTTAACTTTTTTGTTTTCCTAGTTTTGTATTAGAAATCCTGTAAGAGGAAGGCCTTACAGTGTACAGTGACTATATGAACATCTTACATCATCTTTCTTTCTAGAATGTTAGTTCCTTCTGGAGAAAAATTTTAAAACTGAAGCTTTTCATAGATTGCCTTTTTCCCCACCAGGGGATTCATAGTGTAAGGAACTCCAATATAATAAAAGTGGGCTACTGTAATGTCAGAAAAGATTTAGATGATTCTTTAAGACCTTCCAAAAAACAGGAGACATATGCCATAATCTCTGACCTCTCTTCTAGTGGATTAGAAAATAAAGCCTCAGACAAAATCCATTTCTCTACAAGGAAATTTAAGATACCTGTATAAGTTTTACATTAAAAAGTAAGTCAAATTATCATTTGGCAAATGAATGACAAAGAGACAACTTCATGTTAAAATTTGTAGGATGCAACCAAAGTTCAGGGAATTTAACTTCTTTCAATGTATGTATAGAATATGGGGACAATTAAAAGCCAGGATTCATTCTCACTTATTATAAATACTTAGTCCACTGCCAATTCCTAAGAAGTTCTCAATAAGCGTTTGTTGACCAGAGGAATGAGCGAGTGAAACAAGCATCCAGCTGTAGTCTGTTGAGGTGCTCTAGCAAAATAAGTGCAAAACCCAAAAAAGACCTTGAAAACTTTTTGAAGTGAAAGAGATTGTACCCTGGATAGAAAAAATTCAAGCATCATAAGTGAGAAAGTATGTGTAACTGTAGAAATGAAGGAGATCAAAGGGACTTCACCTGGTGGTCCAGTGGTTGAGACTTAGCCTTCCAACACAGAGGGTGCCAGTTCAATCCCTGGTTGGTGAGCTAAGATCCCACATGCCTCATGGCCAAAAAACCAAAACACAAAACAGAAGCAGTATTGTAACAAATTTAATAGACTTAAAATGGTTCACATCAAAAAAGCAATTAAAGAGATCAAGAAATAAGGCAGTATTTTGGCAGACATTGTTGGTTGCCTATCCACTGGTATTAACCAGTCTCCCTTTTCTAGATGCCTGCTGCCCACCTAAATCTAAATGCCAGATGCTTGCCCTCCTAATTGTTTTGCAGTTGAGCATATGTGTAATGGGCTTCCCAGGTGGTGCTAGTGGTAAAGAACCCGCCTGAAGACCCCCTGGGGTAGGGCATGGCAACCCATTCCAGTATTCTTGCCTGGAGAATCCCATGGACAGAAGAGCCTGGCAGGCTACAGTCCATGGGGTCACAGAGTCAGACAGGACTGAAGTGACTTAGTACAGTACAGTACACATAAGAGTAGCAGTGCTGACCACCGAAGGTCTAAGCAAAAGACTGCAAGTGAGCTTCAGTTAAATATTCTTTACTTTACAAAATAGGCGGAAATGGCCTTCCGTTATACAGGACACATCTCTGTGATATCTGGGATTGTGGCCGGTTTACAACCAGAGAATGTGAGAAGCTGAGATTGGCACAGGCGATAGAATTGCTTGTGTGTTTGACACTGTAGAGCTGATGAAACGATTCAGAACTGCTCTACGCTTGGTTGTATGTGAAATAAATTCCATGCCTCTCTGTTAAACATTTATATTCAACTTTATATATCTGAGTACTGGGGAAAGTGTTTTCACATATAGTATATATACATACACATGTTTATTCAACTTTAATTAGTAAAAGAAAATGTTTCAGTTCAGTCGCTCACTCAGTCATGTCCAACTCTGCGACCCCATGGACTGCAGCACACCAGGCTTCCCTGTCCATCACCAACTCCCACAGCTTGCTCAAACTCATCCATCGAGTTGGTGATGCCATCCAACCTCTGTCATCTCATCCTCTGTCATCCCCTTCTGCCTTCATTCCCAGCATCAGGGTCTTTTCCAATGAGTCAGTTCTCTGCATCAGGTGGCCAAAGTATTGGAGCTTCAGAATCAGTCCTTCCAAGGAGTATTCAGGACTGATTTCAGACCTGTTTCAGATATTAAATATTCAGAATACTTCAGATAAACGTTCAGGAAATGTTTACATTTAGTTTTTTATATATGAAATTATGGAAAACATTATTTTCCTAAGTATTTCCTTAAACATATATGTGTATATGTATACAACTTTGATAAGATGTAGGAAATGTTTGTTTATATTCAGCATGTTACAGTATATTCATATATTCAGGATTTTTTTATAGTATGTCTGAAATCCAGGAAAAAAACTGATGAAAGTGCTGCGGCATGTTATTCCTCTAGTACTAGATTAACTTACAGATAAAATCTAACTCTTCAAGATTTTATAAAGAGTATCAGCTATGAGGCTAGCATAACCCCTGTACCAAATTTGGAAAAGGACAGCATCCAGGTCCAGTCAGCTACAAAAATAATCCAGTGTACTCATGGTATATGAATGTTCCAATTAAAATAGCAAGTCAAATCTAGCAGCCCATTAAAACAGGGTTGGTTTTTTTTTTTAATCGGAAATAAAATGGTTCATGACCTGATCTGTCAGATTGTAGGAACTGGCACATTGAAAACTAGACACTAACTTATCCACCAAAAATAGTAAACTGTTAACAGCATATGATACTCAATTGCTATGAGATTGTCCATTAATTGTGCATGTATAGACATTCACAGCATTTGGAATAATCACCATCCATCAGATTCCACCTTTGCCCATGCTTCAGAAATACATACTTTAATGCACACATATATTATGTGACAAATTAAATCAGTCATAGCTAAACCAGTTAACCCACAGGAGGACAATATCCAACAAAACTTCAAGCATTTTTTAAAAGAGGGAAATGATTACTAAATTTTATCTATACTTTCTCCACAATTTCTGACATTTTTTGAGTTATAATAAAAGTTGTAATGAATGTTAAGAAATATTCTCTGTAGACTGGTGGGTGCCCAGGGGGAGAGGGGTGAGAGTGCGTTGGATTGGGAGTTTGGGATTAGTGGATGCAAACTGGTATATACAGAACGGGTAAACAACAAGGTCCTACTGTGTAGCACAGGGTATTCAATATCCTGTGAGAAACCATAATGAAAAAGAATATGAAAAAGTATGAATCTGCTGTACAGCAGTAATAAACATTATAAATCAACTATACCTCAATGAAAAAATAATTCTGATATTTTGCTCATAGCTCAGATGGTAAAGAATCTGCCTGCAAGGTGGGAGTCCTGGGTTTGATCTCTGGGTTGGGAAGATCCCCTGGGGAAAGGAATGGCTACCCACTCCAGTATTCTGGCCTGGAGTGTTCCATGGACGGAAGAGCCTGGCAGGCTCCTGCCAGTCCATGGGATCGCAAAGAATCAGACATGACTGAGCAACTAACACTTTCACTTTTTTTCTGTGATAAGAACAGCAGCTAGAGTCTCAAGAGTCCATGAGGCACGCAAACTTTGTAGCCAGATGCTTATAGGGTCAATTTTTCACGGAAGTCCAGAGGTGGATGCTGACAGCATCTGGCTGTAGATCCAGCAGTCATATTTACTTCACAGTGAGGTCACCATTGCTGTCCAGTCCACAAACACCCTCCCCTCAGACTAGGGATAAAGTGTAAGGCGTTGAACAGGCACCACTCAGGGAAGATTATGACCATTAAGCAGAATCCAGCAGATTGTGAGGTACCACCACCCCTGCCTGTGGTTTTTGTCTGGCCTTGCATTACCATTCCACCAGTCCACCCTCAGCCCCATTGCCAGTGCCCAATACAGGCCGTGTACCAACCAATCACAAGGTTAATAAGATGATGCAGTCTCCAGTAAGACAGTGCATTCTCCTGTCAACACAATCTGAATTCAACTGTGCTTACCAAAAGCCAGTAGAAACTATTGATCAGGATACTAACTCACTTCTGCCCTTACCACTGGATCTACCTCCGGGGGAACATGTTATACAATGGCCCCGGGATTGGCAAGTAAGTCCTGGGTGGTTAGGGTTTGCCATCCTGTGGGGGATAGGATTAGAAAGGAACTGAATGGGGCTTCCCTGGTGGTCCAGTGGCCGAGACTCCATGCTCCCAATGCCAGGGTTCAATCCCTGGGCCAGTAGGAGACAGTTGCGGCGTATGGGATCTAGTTCCCCGACCAGGGATTGAACTTGGCCCCCTGCATTGAGAGCCCGGAGTCTTAGCCGCTGGACCACCTGAGCAGCCCCTCAATTTTTTAATTCCTTCTGTGAATGGAAAAAATAATCACTCAT